TCTCCAAGATTGTAATTTCTGTAACTTTTTATGGTTCTGTTGGGTTATTGATGAAGTAGCTTATTAACAATGTGGCATTCTTAGGCAATTATCAATTACAAAGTTTTGTTGAGGATCTCTTTACTATAATTCAGTTTTGTTAGTGTTTTTTTTTACTGTAGGAACACGCAAATGGGCAAGTACTGCTATCTTAAATGTTTATAGAACCCATTTACATCTTTTTCTCTATTTATAAAAATCTGGTATCTTTTGGGTTCTATTGGTTTGTTAATAAACTTTTGGTCGAATGGACAGGTGACTCTTACCTTGTTGCTGGTACTGATGGTGTGGGAACCAAACTCAAGCTAGCATTTGAGACCGGAATCCATGAAACTATTGGGATTGATCTTGTAAACTTTGGAAAACCCTGTTATATGCATATATATATATATATATTAATATTGTCATCCTAATAAACTCATACTGCAGGTTGCAATGAGTGTCAATGACATTGTTACTTCTGGAGCAAAGCCATTATTTTTCCTTGATTATTTTGCAACAAGTCACCTTGATGTTGACCTTGCTGAGAAGGTTTAAATTGTTTTGTATACTTCAGTTGCTTTGAGCATGGCTAACTGTCTTTAGTAATATTTCTTTTCTGTTTCTTGTTCTTCAGGTTATAAAAGGCATTGTAGATGGTTGTCAACAATCTGACTGCACTCTGTTGGGTGGAGAGGTACATAGTTTAAATTAATTGATATTTAAAAAAATTAAATGTATTATCTAATGCGTGGGATGGATAATTTCCTGTTGAAATTTGGAAAATTTTTAAGTTCATGGACTGAAATAAATAAGAATTTTGATTTGAAGAACTGTGACTAGCTTTGTAATCATAAGGGCTGGTAACAATGGACAACCATTTTGCATCTCAGATAAAGCAATTACTGGATGTCAAGCTCACACTTAGAAATGAATGGTATTCATAGGAATGACTTTAACCACAAATGGTTGATTTTCTTAACTCTGTATATCTTATTAAATTGATCATAACTTGCCTTTGTGTTGAAGATCATGTCTGCAGAATGCATTCGCTGTCATATGTTGAAGCCCTTTCAAGTTTTATGTATGGTTAAAATTGCTATGAACATTTTAAATTATGTGTATTTCAGACTGCAGAGATGCCAGATTTTTATGCAGAGGGTGAGTACGATCTTAGTGGCTTTGCAGTAGGCATTGTTAAAAAGGATTCAGTTATTGATGGAAAAAACATTGTGGCTGGAGATGTACTGATTGGCCTACCTTCTAGTGGAGTCCATTCCAATGGTTTCTCTCTTGTCAGACGGTTAGCAACTTCTGTAAATGAATGTCCTATTTGTAATTATTTTCAGTTGTAGTGTGAGAGATATGGTTGAATCTGTATGCTTCTTTGATCAGTAGCTTTTCCTGTTTTTGCTTTTTGACAAAAAAAAAAAGCCCTCTTATTTCTGATATATGGAATCCTTTTCGTGTACTTATAATCTTTTGCAGGGTTTTGGCTCGAAGTGGCCTTTCTTTAGAAAATCAACTTCCTGGCGCAGCAGTTACATTAGGTGAAGCATTGATGGCACCAACTGTTATATATGTTAAGCAGGTTATAGTCAATCTTTATTTGACATTATGAGTTTGGTTTCCTCATGTCGTGCAGAATTGGCAAGCTAAATCCTTTTTCCCTGTCAACAGGTGCTAGATTTAATTAGCAAGGGAGGGGTGAAGGGAATAGCGCACATCACAGGTGGTGGTTTCACAGACAATATACCTCGAGTGTTTCCAAAAGGCCTTGGTGCTGTTATTTACAAGGATTCTTGGGAGGTTCCAGCTGTGTTCAAATGGATACAACAGGTAGAAAGTTTTTTCATGGCATGTTCTTAAACCTACGTAGAGATTGAGTTGTTTTCCTTGCTTTACATTACCAGATAATTTTCTAAAACCTACAACAGTTAATATTCGATTATTTTAAATGATTGCTATTGATTTAGGCTGGAAAAATTGAAGATGCTGAGATGAGGCGGACTTTTAACATGGGCATTGGCATGGTTCTCATTGTAAGTCAGGAGGCATCTCGCAGAATACTTGAAGATGGAAATGGTGCTTACAAAACCCATCGCATTGGTGAAGCTGTGACTGGAGAAGGAGTGAGCTATCACTAGAAAGTGTAGCAGTAGCTTGTGTTGTAACATGTTGTGACATATTTATTTCTCTCTTAATTGGAACGAGATGTGCGCTTGCGGCTTTTTGGTTTGTCCCATAGTCCAACTAGTGGACAATGCAAGTTTCATTTGACATAGTTATTCATCGGTAATATGAGTTTGGATAAACAAGTCGTGTGGAGTTCTCGAAAAAATTCATAAAAGTGCTGAATTAAGGTTGGCTCAGCAGGCTCTCCAAAAGTTTTCATCCAGTTGTAAATCTGAGACTGTTAATAACAAGTCTTTCTTTCTTTAATCATCATTCTGATTTATGCTTTTGAGATATTATATGTTCTTACTGTCATTGTATTTCTACAAAAATTTTCCTCCTCTTGTATTGCAACTCACTTAAATTCAAGCAGTGATTTATGTATATTTGGGTTCACTTTGGTTGTTTTCTGTTTAATGATCATGATTGTGATCGTCCTTGTCATTCACTACCGTTGACTTGCGAACTAGATTCATGCTGAAAGTCAAGCCAATACAAGTTTGGAACTAAAAATTCCCTTCTGGAAAAAGAAATCTTATTTCTAGAAATAATATGAAGAACAAAGTAAGAAGCAGAAAACAATTAGACGATTCAAAAATTGAGCATGACGGCCATTTGTCCTTGCTCCGTCACCATCTCTTCTGTTAGTATGCACGTTGCTGTAATTCCAAGTTTTTAACTTGATCTGTTTTTTCTCAAAATTCTTCTTGTTATTCCGTCCGTCTTCCTAGATCTTGCGATGAGCTGTGTCTCTCCCACCATTGTCCAGTTGCTTGACAGACAATCTTTGACTTTTCTGGTAATCTTTTGCCATTTATCTTCCATAGCCTTCTTGTTTTCTGTAACTTGAAAGCTAGTTCCATCCATGCCCAAATCATCTTGTATGTTCCTAGGCTGCCTCGCTTTAGCTGACATCCGCTTATATTGCAGTTCAGGGGGTTCAATGTTTTGATTTACCAGAGGCAAACACAACGCACTTGCCGTGAAACTTTTCCTTTATTGTGGCAGAATCTGCTTCTGGCTTGTTTCTGTAAACTACAGATTCTCCCAAAACTCTGCCCTTTTGTTGTGCTTCCTTAGCTTGAACTAACCCAGTTGTTGTGCTCCCTCTGTTTCCGCACATTTCAGACTCACTCTTCATGTTGTGGGCTTTTCTTCTTTCATGAAACCTGTTCTCTTTCTCATGCTTAAAATGTTGATATCCGGAGTCTAATGCATTGCGCCTGTAAGCCACCCAAGGGTCGTAGGGCAAGCCGGCAACATATTTTGGGGGATATCTCAGCGGAGGAACAAACAATTCAGGACTCTGAATCTGGGAAGCGACTTCCTCTGAACCTCACTTTTGGGTCTTGTAGATTCTGTTTCAGGCATGTACCAGGAGCAGGGTTTGGTTGTTTACTGTTCAAAATAGTTCTTGTAGGTTGAGGGTTGTTTTGTTTCTGCAGCTTCTCGTTCTGAGATTCATGCCTGCAGTTATTTATGTGCTTGAGAAAATAGTTATTCAAAGCAACAAGAAGGTAAAATGTCCCAAAATCTATCACAAATCACAGCCATTGTATTTTGGAAAGAATGAATTCATTAGTTTTGTTCAATATAGAGTGAAAATTATTTGGTTCGCTAATGCATTTAAAGGCATTTGAAAATCGAGAAGGAAGGGGGATGAAATATCACAGCGTAAAGGAGAGAATTATGTAGATGGAGGTCTAGTTTTCTCCAGTCAATTCCCTTCTCTTGGAGAACAACTTCTCCGGGCCTTGCGGAGCAGAAAGGGCTCGGTTTCCGCTGTTGTTGCACCTGAGCTTGGCCGCTGTCTGCACCTGCTGCAGCTTCTTCTTCTTCCTCTTCTTTCTGTGCTTCTTCCGCCTATGGAAACACAGACCCACGCTTGCTTTGTATTCCCACCATCTCCCTTACCTGTCCCCCAACGGCTACGTTTCTGTTTGAAATTCAAAAGTTGGCCAATCAAGTGTTGATGCAACTGCAAGTGGGTTTGTATTTGGGCCTAATTTGGACCAAAATCTTCGAAAGCAACCTCAGGCCTGCCAATCCACAGACTCTCGTTCTCCATACTATTTAAATAATTAAATTATTTATTGTTTATACTATATAATACTAATAAATCAATAGCCTGGATAGGAATTAATAATAATGTAAATCAAGATGATGAATTCTATATGCTTTGTGGTTTTTCAAGTGAAAACAACAAAAAAAGGTGAAGTCACTTTGTGTACATTTTCTATTCCTCATGGAACCTTTGATGACACTTTGGTATAAAACTATTAGACAAAGTTTGCTTGTCACGCCAACTCTAAAAAAAAGGGACATCCCTTTGATTTTGGGCAAAAGACAAACATTGAATTCTAAATTTAAGGCAGAGATTAAAACACTTCATCTCATAGGTCACTTCGTATTATTTCTCTTCCACCTTTTTATGTTGCATATGTTTCTTGTCGTGTTTTCTGTTTACATCATCCTCATTGTTTACATCATCAGTGATAACTGATTTTATTCCTTTTTGCCCGATGCACGTGGGAAGGAAAATCACCCATCTCTGAAAGTAAAATCGCACCTTTTTTTGGGATCTGATATGACTCTACCCACTTATTAAAGACTAAATTCGGCATTAAGCAAGAGGAGGAAGAACAAAATAAAGAGTAAAGTTAGTGAATAAAGGAGGAATAATTAGGGGTCATAACTCCTGAGAGATCAATAATTTAGCATCAGCGGGGAATATGCTAGCTTCCTCAAGCAATGGTTACCATCACATCATTTTCTCGTTTGGAAACATTTTTTGGTCAAAACAATTTAGTGCTGTCGTTCAAAACTTTATAATATTCGATTAGATTAAATTTTAATAAATATATATTGAAAAAACTATTTTACTCAATTTTTTGAAAGATTTATTTTAATTTATAAATAGAAAACGATCACATTTAAAAATGTTTGACTGAAAAAAAAAATCAAATTCAAGCAATATTAATGAGATTATGTAAAATTGATTGGAAGTTAATTGGGAGCATATGCGCTGATATTACTGTGACATTACATGGCATTGCAAAGCTAATGACATTTTGTAAATAAATTTTCTTGTACTTTTTTCTCATTAAAATAATTGTACTTTATTCTACCCTTTTTAACTTTTTTATTTAAAAAATAAAGATTGGTAGACAGGAGAATAATACAATAATGAAAAGCATTAGGCATCTATATCCTTTCATTCCGCACTTCTCAAAGAAATCTTCACATTGACTAAAGTATGTGTTTAGAATGCTAAAACCTTAGCGGAACTCAATCCAATGTTATAGATAAGATCAATTAAATTTGATTTATCCTAATGCGGGTCCATTTGGATTTCCTTTCTCTGGGACAACAGATGTAATTGGTCACTTAAGGTTTGAGGATAACCCAACGGTTGTGTAAAACCTAGTTCAGTAGAATGCGGTGCTGGTAATAAAGATTTACCGTGTAATCTGATCGAAGTGAAGTCAACAAACATGAAAAAGAGGTTGGCTTTACTTGTACAGAAGCGGTACCGTAAAGGAGAGTTTCAATTCTTGCTAGATTTGTTATAAAAAGGTTGAAAAGCTGGGAAAGCGACTTTCAATAAGAGGCAAAAAGAAACAAAAAAAAAAACAAAAGAAATCCACGCAGCTGCTTCTTCTTCTTCTTCGTCTTCTTCAAAGCTTTCCCGCTCGCTCAGAGACATTAATACAAGCACTTTGACTGCGATAAAGACTTTAATAGAAATATTATTCAGAGAGAAGGAGAATGAAGTACGTTTTGGTTACTGGAGGAGTCGTAAGTGGACTCGGCAAAGGCGTCACCGCCAGCAGCATAGGCGTCGTCCTAAAAGCCTGTGGCCTTCGTGTTACTTCCATCAAAATTGGTGCTCTTTTTTTTTTTTTCTCTCGTTTTACCTTATCATTTTTCTTTCTTCTTTTCTATGGGTTCAGGTTTCTGGGTTGGTTTCTAATCTTTATGCTTTTCGACTAATGTTTGACATTTCAGAAATTTGAATCAAACGTTTGATTGATTACAATTTTTTTTTGATGTTTAACGAGTATAATCTGCTTTTCTTCAGTGTTTATTATTGCTGTTACTTGCTCTTTAGTTCCTAAACTTTTTGTTTTTTGGGATTTGCTTTCGATTTTTTTTTTGACAGCAGTCCTGGTTATGCTTATTTTTCGTTTGTTAATCGTCTTCTTTTTCCTTGTATCTGGCAGATCCTTATCTGAACACGGATGCCGGTACCATGTCTCCTTTTGAACATGGAGAGGTTTTTGTTCTTGATGACGGCGGAGAGGTTTTACTACCCCTCTCCTTTTATTTTTCTCTCTAGCATTCAGTATTTTGTGCTAACAGTATTTGCCAAAAAATAGAATACCTCAGAGCAATATATTAACTAAGTTGGTTTATGGTGATGTTTGATTGGAAAAGGTTGATTTGGATTTGGGTAATTATGAGCGCTTCCTTGATGCTACTCTTACTAAAGAGAACAACATTACTACTGGGAAGATATATCAGGTAATTCAGTTTAGTCAGAATAGATGCTAATGTATTTGGACAGCATTCACCTGAGTTCTATAAGTGGTTGAAATTTGAAAATAATCCAGTTTTTGTATTTTCTTATCAGTCCGTCCTTGACAAGGAACGAAGAGGTGATTATCTTGGAAAAACCGTTCAGGTGACACTTCTTGCTACCAAATTATGTGGCTACTTTTGTTTGCACAAAGAAAGTAACAATTAATACCTGCCATTTCTTTTTTGGAGTGGATCCCAGGTTGTCCCACACATCACAGATGCTATTAAGGACTGGATTGAGTCCGTTGCTCTCATTCCTGTGGATGGAAAACAGGGCCCTGCAGATGTTTGTGTGATAGAGTTGGGAGGCACAGTTGGAAGAGCTATGCTCAAAATGAGACATTTGATGGTCAGGAATTCTCTCCCTATCTTTCTTTCTTTTTTTTTTGCATTTTTGGGTGAAAGATGATTGATCTTTTTTTTTTTTTTGTGGGGTGGGGGTGGGGGGTGGGGTTGTGTTTCTTCAGTGACATTGAATCAATGCCATTCATTGAAGCTTTGCGACAGTTGTCCTTTTCAGTTGGTAAGCCTGCAGTGTTTCTGTTTAGTCCAGAAATGTAGATAATACTCTGTAGGTTTGTTTTGTTTATCAGTCATTATTTTCCCGCTTAATTTTTAGCTTTGTTGCGATGTGGTGCCGGGTGCTTATTTAGATTGACACGTATATGGTGCTCCTTAGATTCATATTGGTCACAGACCTTAAAGTTGTGCCTACAGGAACCTGGATTCCCAAGGAATGTGTTGGCCGAGAAGTTTTGTGGATAATATAATTTGATTAAGTATACAGTGCTATGATTGTGCAACTGTGCTTTATTCACATGTACCATGCTATGCTGGTCAAAATGTTCAAATACTTTGGACAAACATTTGCAGTGTGTTGTGTGTACACACGCAAGTTGGTAAATTAAGAGATACAGTTGATCAGGTTTCTGAATGATTGGTAGCCTTTCCCATCCTGTTAAATCCTCAATCTGGGAGTAAAATATTTGATTCTGCATCTACAGTGTGGCAGGAAGAGACTTTGTATCGGTCTATTTGGTATCTTTGGATATGGATCTTCACTCATCATAATAATTTTCATTTTCCTCCTCAGGGAAAGATAACTTCTGCCTCATTCATGTGAGCCTAATACCTGTGCTGGGTGTTGTTGGAGAGCAAGTAATACTCCATAATTTTCCTTTAACATTCTACATGAATTGCAAAGTTCTTTTAGGTCATTGTTTTGGAGCTTATTTTTAAACCAATGTCAGTTAAGTCCCTGAAATATATTAAATGTTGCCACTTTTTATGGTGAAAGTAACTCTCTCTCTCTCTCTCTCTCTCTTCTCTCTGTGGATGCAGAAAACTAAACCTACACAGCATAGTGTTCGGGAACTTAGAGCATTAGGCTTGACTCCTCATCTGCTTGCATGTCGCTCTGCTCAGGTGCACTGCTTTGCATGCACTTTCATGCCAGAGATGATTTTGTCTTCACAATAGTTTGGCAAATTGCATCATTTCATTTTATCTTTCTGGAGCATTATTACCCAGCTCATTATAACACTTATGTGCATTTTTATTAGTTTTTAAATGGATTGGCTTGAATGTAAATAATCATTATCATCTTTTTGGGGTGTGGCATCTTGTTGTGATGGTGCTCTACTCGCTATTGTTGTTGTCATTTTTAACTTGGTACTGCACCTAACATTCATGACATATAAATATTATTTTGTAAAATTGCAATTCCTCAGCTTTATCTCTTTGTTTTATTTTGTTTTCTCTTTTTATCTTGCTAAATATTATTTTGACTTTGTTTTATTGATCTAACTTTTGTCACAAATTTGATGGTATGTGTACCGTTTTGCTCCGTGACTCGCAGCCCTTATTGGATAATACAAAAGAGAAACTTTCACAATTTTGTCACGTTCCGGTAAATTTGTTGGCAAAATTTGTTTTATTTAATTTGGATTTATGTTTATCATCTTCACTGACAATCTTATTTATCACATTGTGGGCTCTCACAGGCTGCCAACATTCTAAGTATTCATGATGTTCCCAATATTTGGCATATTCCTCTCTTACTTAGAGTATGTTCCATGGCAGTTCTTCCATTTCTCTGGATCTTAAGGATTTCTAGTCTTTTGAACTTGCACATTTTTAATATGCTGTTTTATATTGCCTGTTGCTTCAGAACCAAAATGCTCATCAATCAATTCTGAAACAGCTAGATTTACTCAGGTTAGTTTTTGGTTCAACATTTCCAACATCTACATCTTAATTTTTTATTGTAGGACAGCTAAATTTGTTATAACAATAAGTTCATCTTTGGCTTAACTATTTGATGCACAATGAGGTTGAGGCAAGCAACATTTTTGTATACAGTCTAATTAGTCTTACCTCTATCTCTGTGATTTTAGCACTGGGCAAACCTTATGTTTGTTACTGGTTAGCATGTCAGACTGTTGGCATTGAAATTGAGTGGCTGTTAACTACGAAAATTGACCATTAAATTTGGATCAAGGTACCAACTGCAGGAAGGTTTGATCAGTTTAACTAAATGGTTTTAAAGTTCTGTTTCAGCATTGCCACAATTCCAGATTTAGAAGCTTGGACCAGGAGGGCAGAAACTTTTGATAATCTCACTGATTCTGTTAGTACTCTTAATTTAGCTTTAATTGTCCAGTTTGAAATAGAAAAAATCCTTTCTCAGTTAAAAAAAAACATACTATCGGGTGCAGGTGAGGATTGCAATGGTGGGGAAATATGTTGGCCTGACAGACTCATATCTATCTGTTGTTAAGGTTTGGTGCTTGTTTAATTCAATGATTTCTAGAGATCCTTAACTTTACCCATACTATCTGTTCTGAAAAGGATATTCTTCAATGGACACATAATGTTATACAAGACAGGCTTCTGGTGCTATATATTATTATTATTATTGATGTTACATTATAATTCCTTTCATCTTTTTAGAATAAGGTCTATGGTAAAGTTTTCATAAACAATTCTCCAAATGTTTCATATGCTGGAAGGATTAGCACATAGATCAGTTCAGATAACTCCATATCCAGCATCTTTGTATCTCTTAATCTAGATCATTTTGGTGAAAGATATATCATATTGTGATTGATTGAAAACTAGGTATTCATTATTTAGTGATGCAAAATTATATCCCTGCTAATTGGTTATAGGTTTTTTGAGTACTGAAATTTACTGGCTTGCTGACTAATGTCTCTGAAGGTAATCATTATTATGTCTACTTCCTTTCATTATATGTATTCTTTTGCTTGTAGGCCCTTTTACATGCATGCATTGCGTGCTCTTTGAAGCCATCGATTGACTGGATTGCAGCTTCAGACCTTGAAGATGATAGTGCCCAATTGGTATTGAACCAGTATCACTTTTGTCTTTACATTTTTTTTTTTCAATTTTAAAAACTATCTTGTCTATACATTCTTCTGCCTCATGCAGACACCAGAAGCTCATGCTGCTGCATGGAAGACTTTAAGAGTAAGCCTTTTATGGTTTTCCCCATTTTTTTTTGCCTTAATTTTCTGGCAGTGCCAGATCCTTTACCTGACAACTGGTCTTGATTTATCACTTCCATGGATTAGTTTCCTGCAAGAATAGGCTAGACTATTAATTATGGTGCCTGAGAGCTGAGTGTGTCTGAAATAGAATCATAATTAATTATGGTGCTTGAGAGTTGAGTGTGCCTGAAATTGAATCATAAATAGAGATTTCAATTGAATATTTTCTCCCTTTATTTTGGGAGGGTTTGTAATTATCTTTCTATTTAGGTTACTGGACTGTGTAAGAGTTTTGGTGCGGCTAGTAAAGGGATTTGGGAGGGGCATTGTGGAAATTGAATTCTTTCTCTAACGTTTTTGCAGAATGCTGAATGTGTCATAGTGCCTGGTGGATTTGGAGATCGTGGTATAGGTGGAATGATATTGGCCGCAAAATATGCTAGAGAGAATAATGTTCCTTATCTTGGCATTTGCTTGGGCATGCAGATCTCCGTCATTGAGTATGCCAGATCTGTAAGTGACTTTTCTTTCAAATACAATGGTTTATTTTCCAAATTACTAAACCTTTTCTAGTTATTTGTCCCAGGTTCTTGGTCTTGAAAGGGCAAATAGTACGGAGTTTGATGAGCAGACACCTGATCCTGTTGTGATTTTTATGCCTGAAGTATACATTGCATCTTGCTCATTTTACGTTTCCATACATCTGCCTCATGCATGCAGGACTATATTATCTTCTATTTGATGTGTCAGGGCTCAAGAACACATATGGGAAGCACAATGAGACTAGGATCTCGAAGAACACTATTCCAGACCCCCGATTGTCTTACTTCTAAATTGTATGTTATTTATCTATTAGTTTGTTTAATTAAAATTTCTTCAAACTCTGCTTCTGCAGAAAAAAAGATTGAATACTCAATTCATTTGTTTTCTATTTGTGCTATGGATGCTTATACCATGTGACCTCTGGATGACAAGTTTAATGTGCCCCCAGGTAGTTTACAAGGGTAGAAGGCATCATATTATCATTTCAGATGGTATTGCTTCCCATGGGTTGTGGCTTTATATTAACTAGATGTTGATTGGTAAAATAAGCATGTTTTTATGTACCAAAAATAAAAGCACTATTTTTTGTGTCCAGTGGGTGATGCTGCTGCCAAATAGTCTATAAATTATAGCTAGACAAAATTAATGCTGGTGTTTAAATTTAATAAGATTATTGACCAAATTAAAAGATCTCTATGTATGTTTTGATTGGCCTGCATGATAATTCTTGTTTATTTCACTTGCTAGGTACTGCAATCCACAGTATGTAGACGAACGGCATCGGCATAGATATGAGGTTGGTCAAGTTGATTCAACTGGAAAAGAGTAGAAAAAATAGATCTACCAGCATAACTTATATGATATTCCATGATATGATATATTGCATTTTACATGACTGTGCTGTAGGTAAACCCGGATGTCATTGGGGTTCTTGAACAAGGTGGGCTGAAATTTGTTGGGAAGGATGAAACTGGGAAAAGGATGGAGGTGGGTTTTTTTCATGTGTACTTTTTTCCCCTTGTTGAAGTTTTACTTTTTATGTGTGTGTACTGTATAGCCATCTGTTGGACTCAAATTCTCTCCTTACCAGTCTTTGAACTAAAAAGGGTCAAGTTATATTGGTGCTTGCATACATTGAAGTTAATTTCTTTTCTTCTGTTTTGCAGGTTCTGGAGCTTCCAGGTCATCCATTTTATGTAGGAGTGCAGTTTCATCCAGAATTTAAATCGCGGCCAGGGAAGCCCTCGGCTCCATTTTTAGGTACTTACAGTTCACAAGCAAATCCAGAGCTTATGTATTAAACTTGACGGGCACATTAGTGTTACATTATTTCCAACTGCATGTAAAGTGCATATTTTGTCATTAATAGCTTTAAAAAAACGAAAATGATGTGAAAAGGACTATGTCATTGAGTTGTATCCAACTGGGAAGGTCATGGTCCCATATAGGGCAGAGTGAAAGATGCATTCATATCTGACCATGTAAAATAGAGCTGCTGTCATTTGTCTGAATTTCACTGAACCAAGTAAATTAATCCTTCTAAAATGGAGCGTCCTCATGCTATGTCCTTATGAATATGATGGAATATGAATAAAGTCCGCATGCTTGATCGATATACAGTCCACACCCTGTAAGCAAATAACTGATAAATTTGGATTATTCAACTTTTATCTTCTTTCACTGAAACAACAATAACATTTATGCGTTTTGTCATTATAGGTCTTATATTATCTGCAAGAGGACAATTGGAAGCATATCTTAGCAGGCATCAAAAAGGAAATTGATTTTACAAGTTATACTGATTACATCGCATCTGACTTACAAGGTAATCTTCTTTCTGAAAATTAAATGTGAAGAAATTCCTTGGGTAGAACAAATTGTTACCTGGCTTAGCAGCCTGATTGGCTGAGGATGTGCTTTGACCTTGACAGTAGCTGCTCTAGAGACTAGAATTTATACTTGGTACTTTTGGCAATGTTACGTCAACTGTATTTTGTACCATTGTTTGCACGCGTCTCCTTTTACTTTTACATTATTACATATGTTCACATTGCGTGGGGAAGGATTTATGCGGAAATTGTCTAATTGCTCTCGTGCACCAACTGGTACGAGGGAAAGGTATTTTCCTGTACCTAGGTCAACTTGACATGGTCTAGCACAGCGCACCAATGTATCTAATGATATGTTAAGGTGTCACTATTTGGCAGTGTTAGGCCACTGGGATGCAGCCTTTGCCGGTGGTTTGGTTAGTGTAGGGTACAGTCAGATACAACTTTCAATTTTTTTTTTTTTGTTTTCTGAACTGACACCTAGCTCGGTACCTATGTTTGCAGGAGAAAATTGATATTATTTGAGGTCTTACGCTATAGATATACGCAAGGAGGTTCTTCACGTGGATCCTTATTGCAATGCACATATTATGGTCCTTCAGTTCTTACCCGACTCATTCTTTCCTATCTACCTTTAATCAAAAAAGGATAATTGAGTTCTTGGTGCATTTGACCTGATATTCACAGGGCAAATCTTCAGAATTGGTTCCAGAAAATTGTAGCAATGTGTGAGAGTTACAGCATTCTTGACTGATTTGAGGGATTTCCGTTTTATTGTCCTAAATTTCAGAACTTATTTTCTACATGTTGATTGGCATGTAGCTCTTTCAGCAACAGGTTAAAAATAAAATCCTTTTTTTCATGGGTATATAGGGGGTGAGGAAAGGCAGATGTAATCTCTTCCGAATTGTCATGTCGTTTCATGTAATTCTTCTATCAATGATAGCAACTATTTTTTTACCTCAACATATTTGCTTGCTGAAAGGGATATTTTGCTTGGCAATAGTCTTTGCCCTTAGGTTGTTCTCATGATGAACATCTCATCATGATTGATTTTAACCTCTGCTAACAACTTCGCAGATGTACATTATTAACGTTCGTTTGATTTTACGAATCGAATTGTTGCGTAGATGTGTCAGCCCAATGAATCCCACTTTGCAGAAGACCTGCCATTCGCTTCACGAGTTGGGAACTAATTAAGATAAAAAATTATACTATTAAACGATTTTACTCTCTTCCCCTAGTTAACTTGAAAATTACTAACGTAATTATTCCCTCCAAAAGCAAGACTCTTATTGTATGCATGATGCTTTTAGTGTCGTTTCCTGACTTTAGGAAATTGCTAACCTCGCATCCAAACTTTATTTTGGTTCAAAGCAAAAATTTTACCCACTTGTCTAACACAAGATTATACCTTAATTTTGAGTGGCTAATGCCAGTTGAATAAATTACCATTTACTACTATTTTTGATTCTTAATAAAAACGTATATGAGATGTTTTAATTCTTATTGATGAAATTGTAAACACTCGAATCCTCGTTATTTACAAGAATAACAAAAAGCCGCAGTGTCTCTCTTGTAAAAGAATTATCTTTAAAAGCCGCAAACTGAAAGCATAAAATAGAGCAAGAAGGTGTAGAATATGCAAAATGAACTTAGAAGGATGCAGATTTCCCAAGAGCACAAGATTCAACTTGCGCCTCTGTTAAGCATTTCAGTGTATTCCAAATAAGATATCTGCCTTTGTAACTTCATTTGCTCGTAAAAGTTGGCAATGAACTTCTCCGCCTTTGAATCAATCCCCTCTTCCTCCTCTAATGAATATGGACTCTTCTCATCACAACCCTCATATCCACACTCTTTCTCTTCTCCTTGTTCTTCCTCATCAGAACTGCTTGAGTAACTCTTTCTTCCACTCTCATAGCCGCAAACTCCGTCGTATTCATCCATTCCGAAATCGTAATCGAAATCCACTGCCTCGGTGCTAATGCAAGGAAGAAGGAACCGCATGGAAGCAGGACGGTGCATCTTGACGGGAAAAAGAGGGGTCTCGTCGAAGGAAAGCTCGCGCTCCTTGTAATGGCTTTGGTCGCGAGGAGCTGTTGTATGTCCAAGGCCTTTGAGGAACTTAGGCACCAACCGTAGCTCCATCATAAGCCGTCTCTTGAACACCCCACCTTTTCTTGTCCATAACAATGCTAGACGCAGGAGACTCCATGCTCTTTGAGAAACATTACTATTCTCCTTGGGCATTTTTCTTGTCTTTATTCACAGAATTAGTAGTTCAAAATAATACAAAAAAAAAAAAAGAATCACAGTAGAGTCGAGTGAGTAGCAAAAAACTTGGCTACGAGAAAACACAGGGAAAGCTTTTCTTTGGCTGCTGAAATAAGATTTTGTTTGGATGTTAAGAACTTTGTTTTGCTGTTGAGATTTAGAGATGTTCAGGTTGCTGATGAGCCAAGACAACTAATTGGGTGCCTATTTATATGTAATTATGCGTAAGCGTTTGATACGCGGAGCGAGAGAGACAGAGAGAGGGAAAGAGTTTGCTTTTCTTTTGTTTGGTTTTGGTGAGAAAAGTGAACAAAGGGCGGTGGAACCTCGTGGGAAACACGGTTGTTCGCGAGAGAAATCTAGCTGTCGCCGTTTTTGTTTCCAAATCTAACCCTATCTTGTTTCGTTTATTACGCTTTGGAGCAGCAGAAAATGTGTTTTTTATTATGCCTTCATTTTCAATTTTCGACAATTGAAGCTCCATAGATTTGAGGCTCTTTTAGTTTATTTGCAACTTGCAAAATTACTCCGTTTTAATGAAACGAAAATACATCTTACTGTATCAAAATTCAGTTAAATCTTCAAATTATAAAGGTTATATAGAAATTAAAGCAATTAATATATCATGACTGAAATAAATATTACTACTACTAGCAATTACTACATGTATGAAAGGTTATTTTAGTCAAACAGGAATAGTGAAGCCAATTTTTGTTCGTAGAAAAAATATTAAAGAAAAGACTGAAGCAAATGATTGCAGAGTGGGCCCTCCTTTTGGCTGTCGTTGGCAGGACACGGTTTTAGTTGTGTTTTTGTTTAGCTTTCACTTGAGAAATAAGAAACAGTTCCTCAGAAAATGTTAAGGACTATCGCGCGAGGGAAACGCTAACTGTATTGTTTGTACTTCTGAACAAAGAGACAGAATCCTAAGCTCAACGGTAGGTAGAGATCTTAACTTATTTGAACACAATTAATAAATACATACCATTGAATCCTAACCGTGTTCCCAGGAAGCCGTACCAATCATATGATTAATTTCATATTTATTTAGTATTTTAATTAGCAAATCAAAATGTGAGAATCTTCCTATAATATACTTGAAATTAATTATCAAGATTTTTCTCTCTGAAATCAGCGAAATTTAAATATTTTCAAAGCATAAGAAGTTGACAAGCTCAAGTCAATGAAATCAATTCAAGAATGTATAGAGAAGCCAATGTGGTTCATCAATGTTAATTGCTTGGATGCCACTCAGATCTCTGTTTCGAAATTTGGCATTTGGATTTCAGCCTATTTAGATTTGCAAGATTCCAACCACATTGCACAAGTTCACGGTTGAAGGTTTGCTTTCTTCTTAATTTGGCATCGTAATTCAGAATCAGTGATGAATCATTACTTAAATCACAGTCTAAACAGGCAAATTCAAAACCAAAATTGCAGAGTCCATGTCCGTTTTTTGAAGTTCTTGTATTCTTCAGACAATTAAACTCAAGCTAAAAATCTTTGTTTGATTTAAGATGGTAGCTAGCTAGCTCTCAAGCGCTGTAAATTTTGTACTTTCTTGGAAGTTTAATGTGTGAATCGGTCAGATGCAAGTGGTCAAAATTGTCATCATCCGAAAACTTGCTGTCAGGGTTGTATAAATAAAACGCCGGTTTTGAAAACTCTGGCAAGTGCTTTCTTGCTGCGGTTACTGTAATTCCACAGACAGGATAAGGGGTCAGAGCCACCAAAGAGGCAGCAAGTTGCAGCGAGCGGGCATTTCTGTTTGAGCCGAAAAGTAAAGCTAATTCTCACCAAGAAAAAAGGTGAAATCCAACAAATACAAGATATAAGTCTATAACTTGAACAACTGCAGTGACACCTGTTTCAGATTGTGCGGTCCCACTTTACACCTTGTCAAACATCGAAACAATTGAATGCCAGAAGTGCACTAATCTTTGAACGAGGAAAGTTCCTGGAATACTGTTTCAAAATTTCAAACTCAACAGGTTCCTGCCTCTGTCTTGATTGAACATTGGAGTGCAAATTAAGTAGTGTAACAGTGAAGGAAAACAAATAGGCAGAGCTGAACAAGTTAACGGCATGAATTGACTAAGTAACCAGCTGGCCAACTCCTCTTTTGTTCTTTTCGCATTCCATCAATCAAATGCAATGCTGAAATCGTATTCAATATAAGTATACATGAAGATTCATTGAATATAAGCTGTAATTACCCATTAAATGACAACGAGAAAGTACTAAGTTAACAAGTAATTGGCTTCCATAAACAGCTACTAAGACGTTTTCAATTAAATTTTTTGTATTCACGCAATTGATATCTAGATGCTAACCTAGTAAATAACCTACTACTTCCCCTCCCCGTTTACAATTTATGAGAGTGGACTTTTAACCTCGGGTTCATATGAGAGTGGCTGACTTGGGATTTTCACCTTAAAATAATGGTATTAAGCTAAGGTCAATTGTTTTTTTCTTATAATTATATGGTGACGTTTGGTATTAGAGAAGTGAGAGTACATTCCTTATAATGTGTTCAATTAAATTCTATTACTATGTTTGTTTTACAACAGATCACTGCAATATAAGATTGCAATGCAATCACATTATAGTCAAAGGATGTAATGTGATTGCAGTTCAAAACTAATACAATCATATTACATTGCACTCTGCAATGTTCTTAAAGATAATTTTACCTTTCAACTTTATTATCTTATTAAAAATATTTTATATTGTTATAATTAAAATAAAAAATATTAAAATAAAATATATAATATAAGAATCAAAAATTAAAATAAAATAAAATATAAAAAATTAAAATTTATATAATATGGGTACAACAAATTAAAATAAAATATATAATATAAAAAATATATTAAAAAATAAAAATAAAATATATAAGATTATAATAATAAATAAAAATAAAATATATGACATTAAAAATATATTTAAGAGATGATATTATATAAAAATTAATAATATAAATATAAATATATTAAAAATAAAATATATAAGATTATAATAATAAATAAAAATAAAATATATGATATTAAAAATATATTTAAGAGATGATATTATATAAAAATTAATAATAAAAAATATAAATATATTAAACTTGTATTTTAATAACTAAGGGTAAATTTGAAAATTAACATTATATTTTCAATAAAATACTTATAAACCAAAAGCTGCAATGTTATTTTTTTTATATTTTAATCATTATTTTACTTACATACCAAATACTGTAATGTTATTTTTTTTGTAATCACATTGTTTGCAATCACATTATATTATAAAGTATCAAACGTTACTTTTAAGTTGAGATCTCACTAACTTATTAGTAAATGAGAAAGTGGGATGTTTAAAAATAACGAAATGGGGATGAATATTAATTAATTAGACCGCTAGCAAGAAAGCTTCTATCAATAATTGTGAAAAGTTGGCTTAGATTGACCCAATTACATAGACATAAATTGGTGCTAGGCCTAGCTGATGGACGTGTATGGGATTCGTAATGATGCAATATCAATATATGTAGTGCTTAACACAACACATATTTGTTAAATACATGGCATTCAATCATCAATCTTTTTAAATTTCTCATGCGAAAATTATGTTTTCGATAAAGACTTTTTCTTGTGTGCCATTATGTCTTGCGCTGCAAGATGCCTCCTAAGTAATATTAACTTGTCTTTGTGTACTTTCTAAGTTTGGAATGCAAAATTGAAGTTCTTACGTATAAGTAATATATATTACTACGAACAACAAAAAAAATAAAATAAAAGTTACATATCAATCGACCTATATTAAACAATTAATGCCTAAAACCATAGAGAGAATCTAAATATATTGATAAATTCACCGTCTAATTAATCATAAAATATAGAGAATTTTTATTTAAAAGCAAACAAATTAGCAATCTACTTTTTCTTAAGCATTCGGAAAATAGTTCAAATAATTAACCAGATATCATTTTCTTCAACCTACAAAAAATGCAATCTTCTCTTCACACGAAAATGTGAAGGGAAAACACGATTGCTTTGAAGAAAGACGAGCCAAACACAATTAAGCGCGTCCAGTAAACATGTACGGATCTTCAATTCGTGAACGATGAACAATGATTAGATGGTTTTGATTATTTTGTAAATAAATCTTAAGACATCATTGTGGGACCGCATAGAAAATCGTAAGGGGAAATTAAAATTCGGCGGACCCACACACCATGGCCCACATCGCTGTGAAATGTTACTATAATATATTTATGGACGGGCCATGCTGGATTCATGGACGCATGTTTTCGGGTCATTCTCCAGCGATTTTAGGCTCGTTTCGGTTTGGTTTTTTGTGTGATACATTGCAAGCTGTTGGGAATTGAGACAGAAGGAGAGAGAGAGGAAGGACGGAGTCAATCTAATTATAGAAAAATTGGGACACTCAAATAAATGCGAGCCGTTAGATTAATTTCTGCTGCAAGAAACAATAAGCCTAACCGATTCCTATGCCTGAAACAACGCTTTCGCGTTGTCCCTTCTACGCTTCTAAATGGTCGTATGATTTGCTTCTTATTACGCTTCCGCCACCTCTACGCATAGATGTATTATCTTGCTCCCCTGTTTAAACTTAGAGCCTGTTAGCCTTCTACACAGATAGCTAGCATGCATTGTGTCCAAAGCAAGTATAATTTTTGGTTAATTTAATAAAATTACAAACTTGTTACCAGAATGTATAATATATAGTATTTATTAACTTGTAAAATTAACTATATTGCATTAATTATTGAATTTGGGTTGGAACACCAAAGTGGGTGCTCTCTTCCTTTAAAATGTAATTAAAAGAAGTTTGAGTTTTATCAAGTTTGATAAATCTTTTCCTTGTGTTGTTCTTCCATTTAAAAATTTGTATTTTAAAAACATTTTTTCAACTTTTCTCCTATATATCTTCTATTATTAAATTTTAGTACATTTGAATTTCTTTTATCATCTACATAATCTTCCCACACAAGTTTTATATATGACATGGCTTAATATTTATTGAACTAGTTATGTTACATTAATATTTTTGGTATATTTGAGAAAGTATAAGATGAAATTAAGATTTCAAACAATTAAACTAAAACCCTTTGATAAGTTTTGGTGTTTCTGCTGAATTTTAATTCGAAAACCTATAATAAATATTTGACATGACATTCAAAGTTAGTTGAGCCGGCCTTGTATGCTGATTCCTAAGTAATAGATTTTTTAAAGCTCCACGTCAAGTTTATATCTTACATAATAATTTGATATCATAACGTGTTTAATTTCGTAATAAATTTCTTGTTATTTACACGTAATTAAAAAGAATAATGTTAAGTTGCAGTATAGCAAATAAATGGTGGATATTGTAGGTGTTTAAATAAAACAGAAGTTTCCTTGATTTCAAAATAGTAGCAACTAATTGATTCTAAAATAAGTAGCCATACATAAAATTTGACATAAGGGAATCGATGACATTAATTTCCTATTACTTGTAAACACAGTGGTTTTTTGACTTTTGAGTTCGAGAAAGGAAAGTTTACCGTCGAGACAAACCGGTTTTACTTGTATTGACAATATTTATAGGTAGTAGTTAAACTATTTTGGGTGCGTACTATTTTTGTCAAATGAAGAATATTCCGTTTTATTTTACCGTAGTTGTCCTTGTAAATACATAGAAGGATAGTTAAAAAAAAGAGGGAGGGGCACGACTCTTCAAACTTTCAACATATATAAATTCATTGTCCTTCTCTACCTCTCGGCAAAGGCTCATTCCGCATCTCCCTGTGCTTGGCGCAGGGGTTGCTCCTCTAAAAATACGGTAGCAAATTGAGACATCAGGAGCCTTTTCTTTTGTCTCTGTTTTTTCCCTTTTGATGGAAGAAATATCAAAGACATCAATTACAACCATCTCCAGGGACAAAAACAAGGCTCCTGATCAAAATGGCTTGCCTTTGACGAAGAAAAGAAAGCGCGCATCCGCAATTAGCCTGCTCAAGGCGACGCTTTATGTGTTGGGTCTTAGATCAAGCAAGTCAAAATCAAAATCCGTTCAGGTTAATTTGTTTTCCAAATTCTACTGGAAGGGGCTTGTAGGGTCAATGCGCCCAATGCATTTACAGAGCAACCAATCCCCACCCCCTGCTATCGAGGCCGAACCTGCAATCATGCCTGAGGAGGAGTCTATACCTCTTGGCAAATATATAGGGGAAGAGATTTCGTCGCCCTTATCTCCAAGGAGGGACAGCTCTCCGTCCCCAGTCTTCTCCATGTCCTCTTACGGCTCCGTGAGTGACTTGAGCCAATATGAGTCACCTTTGAATCTTCCAGATCTTCAGCATGTTATAAAATCTTGCGAAGAGATCACCCAAGAGCCGGAGTTTTGGTACGGTGATGACGATGGCGACGAGATGATTGATGCTAAGGCTGAAGAATTCATAGCTCAGTTCTACGAACAAATGAGGCGTCAAAACTTGAATGGATGAATCGTTACAATTGCGGAAAAACAGTGTTCAATAACGTACGGACGGCATTGGTTTGCATGCATGCACGTTGCATTGTTCGTTTTCTGTCTTTTTTTTTTTTTGTTCTTTTTTATATTTATCTTTGTGGTTCATAGGGAAAGTCGGGGCTGGTGGAAAACATACAGTTGCAAGGCGAATAGTAAGTGTAGCAAATAAAGAGAGGATATCCTCTGCTGTGTTTTACTTACTATATAGAACTTGGGATATGGAGGTGTTAGGTGTAATTTTGTTTTAATTCAAGTATAAATGGCATGATTTGGTTATAACTATGATTTATAAATGAAAAAAATTTGCAGTTTTGACTCTATCTTCCTAGCATGTATATACACCCTAAGCTCATACTAATTACACGCCCTCAATTTAATTCGTGCTCTATATTTCTAACATCATTATGAACATTTTATTATGTAAAGCAATTCTATGATATTACTTTGATGCGGTTTGCCATTTATGAGATTCACAATAATTTGTAGTAATTTCTTTTAATTTGGTACCCACATCGTACAAGTGTCTGGAGCTATACAGCTACTAGTTAGCGGCATCAGAGGAAATTAAGCTTGTTTTTTTCTTCTTTGTTATATGTCTCAAAACCATAATCTTTCACAATATTAAACACTTGGGCTATTCCTATTAGCTTCGACAGTTAAGACTGACCGTAAAGCAGACTTGAGGTACAATTTTAAACATAATTCTCTATTAGACACTAAATTACCATACATCTCCGAGAGCTTTTCTCCCTTTTCTTTTTTTCTGTCAACACAGAAAAAGCCTATCGACTACCGTCCTAACATTTTCAGAATATTGCGGGGCCAGGCCCGAGTTTAAAATGTTTACATTGGGCTAAAGCATGACCCTCATATCACATCGGTGAAAGTTAATTTCCACAAGTTCTTGTTTAGTTCACGCAACGGCATCCAAACATGAGAATTGAGAAACCCCACTTCAATTTCTTCCCTACCCTGTTGCCTGCGGGAAATACGATCATTGTACCAGCTTTTCCTTCTTTTGTTACTCTCCCATCTTTTTCTCTTTGTTTAACATAACATCTATATTTCTTTTACATTCATTTTACCCTTTTCATCTCATGCAACTTCAATTCAGTGATGCACTGCCAACTTCACTGCCCTCACATGTCGTTGGTAAACCAGAAAAAATGGTTTGGCCTTGGCGCACCGAAATTTTCAATCCTTAAGAAATGTATGGGTCAATAAGTTAAAAAACAAAGCCAAAAGGATCAGCACTAATGACATTCTTCAAGCAAATGCAACTTTGCCAAAGGACTTTCACAACTCATATCATTAATTCGAACTGAAGTATTTTCAAAACTCTAACACCCCAGGCACAGAAAAAGAAAACTATCCCATCATAAATTAAACGCCATTTTCCACTGTTTTAGTGAGTACAACGAAAGTAGAAAAAATAAATCCTCTTTCTAAAAAATTTACTAAAAATTATGTCATGTGTTACATCTTAGTAGTATCTTTACTTACCCACGAATGTCAAAACTATCAATTCCAACAAGATCTCGCCACCTCACTAGCGGATCCCACCCTCCGACGTGTACACAATCTGAACCACAAATTTTGCCACCCTTTAGTATCCATGGACGATCTGCGAGCACTTGTTCTTGATCCAACGGAGCCCTTTCCTCAAAGAAGCCTTTACTTTTCCTTCCACAGTGTAAACCTTGTATTTTGCTATCCTCTTCTTCCTCTTCACCTCGGGATCCGTAAACCCCCACGGCTTCGACGCACCTTGACTCGGCCCAGCCGTCCGATTCGGCACGGGTTGTAAATCGGGAGAGCGGGAACGACTCGAGAAGATCTGATTGGGTCCGACGTTCGAACTCTTCCCGCTTACTATCTCGACCCGTCGATCAACCCCGTAAGGCCTTTGACCCGATCCGTAACTCTCCATTGTGAGATAATGAGTAAGGGAAAAAATTTTCTAGGGTTGTTATGCAAACGAAATATGAGTGGCGTTAGGGTTTGGGGAACTCGAGGTCCTACGGTGAAACATTTATTAAATATTTTCTACTTTTTTTTTTGTTTGGAAAAAAAATTCTCCGAGTTAATTATGACGTGCTGTCTGTACTGGATGATTCCTTTTGAAATTCTTTTTTTTTTTCTGAATAAAGAAAAAAAGAAAATTTATGGTTCAGGCTGCAAATTTAGAGAAATGTGCGGAGCTGTGATCGTCTTCCTTCCCCTGACAACATTTCGTTGGAAAACGTTTAGTATAACTTAATAAACAGTTAATTTAATTAATTTAATTGATTGGGCAGGTTTATGACAACCTTCTTACCTAGTTGTAACTTGTAAGCCGATCCATGAAAAACAAAACAAAATACTAAAGAAGCAAGAAAAAGTTTGATGCATTGCTTCTTGTTAATTCTCGATGAATTTTTTTTATCTTTAATTCTTGCCCTAATGGCAAGGCAATCTTTACAACTTTAAATGTGAGACACGGCCCGCATTTTTGTTTTTCACAGGCCAACTACGAGAATCTTGTGCTACTATTAATTAAGGGATTGATTAAATTTTTTAAAGTTTATTTTTGTATATTTTAAATAAGGTATAAATCATGTGTAAGGATAAAATAATGTGTTCACTAAATAATTAGTTATATAAAAACTATTATAAATTAAGAAAATTCAAGAACACCAGGGTAATTATTAGTACCTAAAATGGACCACAATATTATATATCTACCCAAAATAATAAATAAAGGACCGCAATAAATGGTTATTATAGACCCCGCTATGAGCAAATCCAACTAGCGAGTATGATAGAAAAAACTAGGGCCTAGGAGCAAAGTTGAGCCGAAAAAGAAATCCAATGCATTATTAAAAGCATGCACCTTTTTTAATGGGCAACTCATTAATAAGAACGCCTGTGCATCACAAACAACAGGAAAAAAGTTAAAAAAAATTATAATTTTTAAATAAATTCTTCAATCATTTAAAAAAATTTAAATAAGTCATTATTTTAAAATTTTATTTAATTAAATTTTTATATTTTTATTTTAAATTAAATAAATTTTTATAATTAATGATAAATTAATTATCATTAATCAAAATATCATTTATCATTTTAAATTTATATATTACTAATATAGTGTTAATGTGAATGGTGAAAAATATTATATGAATTATTTCAAATTAACATATTATATTATCATCAATCATGATAAGTTAACATGTCACATCATTATCGATATATTAATATGTCATATCAACATCACGTGATATAAAATGATAAATGATATTTTAATTAAATTAATCATTAATCATAAAAATTTATTTGATTAAAAATAAAAATATAAAATTTATTTGATTCAGAATAAAAGTATAAAAGCTTGATTGGATGCAATAAAAGTATAAAAGTTTATTTGAATTTTCTTAATATATTAGGGGTTTTTTTAGATATTATGTAAAAAAATGACATAATATCGAAAAAAAATTTGAATTTGAATTGTTTATAAAAATTTAAATAATTTTTTATTATTTTATTATATTCAATCAAATTTTTATATTTTTATTTTAAATCAAATAAGTCCTTATAGTTAATTGTTAACGTACTATTAATCAAAATGTAACTTGTCATTTAATATTTACATGACAAGACATAACATTGATATAGAGAATAAAAAATAATACATATATATATTATTATATCATATTAACATATTATGTTATCATTAATTATGAAATGTCATCATGTTACGTCAACGGTCACATGATATAAAATGATAAATGATATTTTAATTAAATCAATTATTAGTTATAGGAGTTTTTTTTATTCAAAATAAAAATATAAGTATTTAATAGAACGTAATAAAAAATAAAATTTTATTTAAAAATTTTAAAATAATTTAAAATTTTTTGAAAATATTATGTCAAAAAAAAGTAAGAAAGCTTGTTAGATATATTAGAGTAATGAAGATATTTTTGTCCTATGAAGAGAAATAAGACAAAAACAAGAATCAGCAAAGGATAATAACGTTGAGCCAAATCTAAGTTACTGCAATGTAGAAGAGGTTTAAGAATTAAAGTTTTGCATTTCAATATTTCTAAATTATAGAATTCATTATTCATATAGTAATATTATCCCTTATTCATCGTATTTGATTAGCTGTTCTAAACCTAGCAAAAGAATGTTGAAAGTACACTACAATAAAACTTTCTTCTGTAGGAATATTTTCGGGCCATATCTCACCCGACCCGATCCGTGTCTAACTCTCTACCCCACACAAGCCTAATAGCATTGGACCCTCTTTGGTTTGGGTTTATATTTTTAAACCATTTTTTTTAACGTTTTTGAGTTTATTTGATCTATTTTTTATTTTACTTATTTTACTTTTCTATTTTATTTATTTATTTATTAATTTTATTTCTATCATTCATGCACATATTTAAACTCAGAAATTCTTTAAAAAATTCTGAGAATAATAAAATTCTAAAAACTAATTTTTTAATTATTTATTTTTTTATTAATTAAAAATCATAATTATTTAGAATAAACTTGTTTAAAAAAATTTTAAGGAAGTTACAAGGGTAATTTTTTTAAAGTGAAAATAATTATGGGACCTCAAGAAAAGTTTTCAATAAAAAAAATAATAAAAGTTTTCACTAAAGTGGTTAGAAAATTCAAGAAAAATTTTATAAAAAAATAAAAACTCTTAATTTTCGTCAAAAGTGATGAGAAAACTCAAGAAAAGTTTCTAGTTTTCACGAAATTGGTGAAAAAACTCAAGAAAAATTTTTAAAAGAAGAATAATGAAAAATAACAATAATAAATCTTAGTTTTCCCCATAATACTAAAAAACCTCAAGAGAAAAAATCTTAAAGAATAATAATAAAAATTCTTAATTTTCATCAAAATGGTGGAAAAACTTAAGAAAAGTTTTTTTAAAAAATAATAATAACTTATAATTTTCTTCAAAATGATGAAATTTTTTTTTAAAAAAAAAAGTAGGGAAAAAACTTAAGAACAGTTTCTAAAAAATAATAATAAAGAAGGCAAACTGCACGAGCGGTGACTGACTGCAGATGAAGAAGAAGAAGAAGAAGAACACAAGGAGAAGAATTCAAGTAACGTGCAAGAGTTAAATTTGGAGCTTTCAAAACCACAGCTAGATAATCACAATTACCAGTTTCTTGGACAAGCTATGGTGGCCAAGGCAGTCTGTTTGTGTTGGCAATTAAGGTTTGAGGTTTCAATAAGCCAAAAAAAAAGAAAACACTATGGATTAGATAGATAATGGGCATGCACCCAAAAAATTAGAATTGCAAATTTGGGGTGTGTTTCTGCGTTTTTTTTTTTTCCTTTTTTTCTGTCACTACATCATCATCTTCCACGTCAGCATGATTGCCACGTCACCATCAGCTTCCTCTCTGTCCACGGTGTCTGGAGTTTCAATGGATTCTTAGTGGAAGATTAATTCTCGCATGCCAGCACCTCATAGTCATTTCCCCTTTTACCGTCACTATCTGTCCCTTGTTGTGCATTCTCTAACACTTGGATTTTACTAACATACAACTTATAAATTCTATTAGCCACTGTTTATTCAATTTGTTCATTTATTTTTTCCATGTTGTTTGTTGAAATCAACACAATCCCATTACTGAAATTTTGGCAACTCAAAGTTCTTCCACCAACCTTCGCCAGATTTCTCCAGTACTTAGTGATATTGCTAAAAGTGATACACCTCCAGGCACGAACTGACACTCCTTGTACCACCAGCCAAGCTTGACACTGAAAAATCCTAGCTCCGACCACATGTCAATGGAAGAAAATCATTTGCTGAGCCAATCCATTTATTTCTCTTTAATCTCCTCAAACTATATACTTTCACCGAATGAAATAAGGTAATGATTGGGTATCAAATTCCTTACTTTCAATTTCTGATAACTTTCCGTATTCAAGTATTCTTGTACGCTTTCCGCTGTCACTTGGTCCTCTGAAATACCGATGATGCTTCTCTCCAAGCAATGAAAATTCTTAGTATTTATTTCCATTTTACACTTGTTGGTTCAATGTTCTCTTTTGAGACATTGTTATGTTTTTCTCATTGTTTTGTTCACCTACCTGGTTAGCGCCCACCCTTTTGCCCTCTAGCTTTAGTTTCCTGTTGCCATTCCCTACTTCTTTCCCAAAATGATTCATGTTCCCCATACTTTGCAACGTTGACCCCAACCTGTGATTAAAAAGCTATATCTTATTTACTCTATGTAGTGCGATCTCTTGGCTTTTATTTCATGTTCGAACCTAAAGAAACTAAACCTCTCCCCTGTTCTACTCCTTTGCACTATAAAGACATCAATCGCCATATCATGATGCTCAGTTTCGGCATATATATATATATCCTCTTCCCACCCTATCGGGGATATTGTTTGACAAAACTTGAGATTACTCCGAAAATGGATCTTTTTCAACCTAAGGATTAATGAAAATGGATATGAAGATAATTCATTTTCTGTTATATCTGGATGGATATATCCCATTCCTATTTGTGAACAATATCAATATGTAGGAATCTTACAAATTGGACACTTACCTAAAAGGCTAAAGTCACGTTTGGGGTGAACATAAAATTCCGATCTTCTTCATTTGTTTATTCAATTTAATTCTTAGAATCCTTGATTCCAGGGAAAGCGGACAACGGAGGGGAAAAAACAAAGGTAAAATCTAGATTTGAGCCAGCCAAGTTTTACATCATCTGATGCTTAATTTATCATTCGAATGAGTTTAAAATATTATGGAGGGCCTTAATTAGACTTTTGCTCTTTTTTAGATCATAATTTTAACTCATTAGCTGATCAGCCACGTTCATTTTCATTTTCTCTTGTCTTTTTCCCTGTTGGTTTACACTTTACATGCTTTTTTTTTGTACTATAAATCTAATGTAGGGTTTTACATTAAAATAATAATTCACCAAACAAAAACTAAGCAAGTTGCATTAGTTGTTCAAATAATTAACAAAGC